CGGAAATCATATAATTTTAACAGCTCACGGTTGACCATAGGTATAAATAGACGAGCTTTCTGGATAGAAAATAGGCAACGTTTGTGAACATCATGTAAAAGCTTGTTAATGTCTTTTTTGCGTGTTGCTACTTGTTTCATGTGTTTGTGAGTGTTTTTTCTTACGTAATCAAATAAATATTGATTTAAAAGTACCAAACCTCATCAGTCTCTTCAATGACTGTATGGAATTAGCTGATTTAATCTAAACATGTCTACAGTTCAACCAAGTTATGTTATATATGTGTGTGTTTTTGTATGAGCGTATTTATAACGGAGTGGCAATGCGATACCTTCTAGAGCCCTGAGGGATTCCCTTCTTCCCAGAGAGAATAACTCAACAAATCTCTTTAAGAATTATAAAATTAAGTTATGCTTCAAGTCTTCCATAATTGGGAAAACATTATAATCATCTCACGATTCTAGGGCAGTAAATTATAATTCAAATTTTTCATAATACCCTCGAAATGAATCATGAATGATTTTAGAACATGATATTGTGCATAGTAAACCCCTTAAAAGGGATACATGAATTTATAAATGACCCCTAATTGTGTGTTTTTGATCAAAGAAACCCGTTTTCAGCCATGGTTTTCAGTTAATGCTCAGTTTCCCCTACCTGGGGAGGAGGGCGGGATGTTTCAGAATCATCACCGGCCGTTGATTCACCACTCTGCCCCTCTGAAAACCGTCCAATGAGGGAGATTTTCCGAATCCCCCGTCTTTTCGGGTTTTTTCGCAAGACAACGGGGAGTTTTTCCCCGTAAAGCGAATCTGCTTTATATTGGACGAAAAAAGCCTTATGTCCAAAAGGGGCGTTGGGGGAGTAAAATAAAAAAACAGTTAGAACAAATGAGACATATCAAAAAAAAGCCAACAACAATTAAAACGGGCTAAAACCAGCTTTTACAAAACCTTATTTGCAACTTGAACCATCTCTACCATCGAGCAAAATAGAATCGGAACACATCTGATCAAAACTCTACCCAGACGTCATTGATCTTGGTCATTAAGTAGATGAAGTTTGTCCATGGGAACAGGTAATGCCTGAAATTATATACTCTCGGTAGACACTTGAAACAGTTTCTAGATGAACATAAAATTTCCTGATAACTTCTCTACTACTCTAGGGCATTTTTAATTTTATTCAGAGAGGACCAAACGTTAGCAAATGTAGAAAACATTCAGTAAACTTAATTTTGTTTGAATTGATATTGTCTTCAGCAATCGATCAAATATTTCATATTTTTTCAATAAATTTGCTCTTACCCGAATTTGAATATTTTTTTTTTCTCAAATATTGTTTTGTGAAAGCGTTCCTTCATAATCTTCTTAATCCTAGTGATTATTTATTCCCAAAAATTTAGTTTATGTGTTCATTCCACTAAATAATTTATATAGACAAAAAAAATTACATATCATATAAATACCCCCTCTCTCTCTTTTGTAATAAGTATATTATTTTAAGATCTGTGTATTTTATGTCCTTTATTTAAATTTCAATAATACTTTAGTTTCAAAGGTATAGTAAAACAATTTTTTTACTTTAAAATTCTGCAAAATAAAAAAATATAATTTTGTACAAAAGATGATTGAAATTTTCTCAAAAAGTTATAAGAATATTAACCCTAGTTTAAAAAAGTTAATATTTACTTTTAAATTTTTTTAATCCAAAAATTAGTGTACGTTAAAAATAATTTTAAACCTGATTTTACCTATTTGATAAATGATTACTGATAAAGTCTATTATTAAATGAAATCAGTATAAGGTTTGAAAAAGTAATGCATGCTGTTATTGAATTAGCGTAACCAAATAGGATAATGATAAGAAAGTTTAATTTTCTCGTATTATAATCATATTAAGATAATTAATGTACGCTTAGTATAATTGAAAGAAAACTATCCTGGAGAATGTTTAAAAAGGGGTTAAAAGAAACAAAAAAAATTATCTATTTACAATTTCTAATTTCCGAGCATTTTTCTCCTGAATTGAAATATTTAATTTATGTTCTATACGTGGCATTTAGTCTTTGCATAGAACGTAAATTCATTTTGAATATTTGCTTAAATCTCCATATGTATGGGTTGGGAAAAAAGAAAAATGAATGTGTCATCTTTAATTGGTTTTTCACATATTTAAGCTTGATTGGAGATAATTCATTTGTTTTATGTATTTAATGAACAATGTCTCTCCTAATCTGTAAGGTATTTTTTAAGAATTACATATAATACTTTATTAAGTACTTATTATTTTTTTAAACACATACATTATTTATACAGGATTCAGTGCTTTTAAGTATTTTTTTTATTTGATTTTTTAAAAAAAATATTTATTTTTTCCGTTTTGTTATTCTAAACCCCAAAACCTCTTTTTTTCAACTTAAATAAAGTAATTGTTGAAAGAACTCTTATACTTAAAAAATTTTATATATATATATATTGATAGTACATGGATGGGAAATAAAAAAAACTAATTTTGTAAAATTGTATTAATTAAAGCGCATAATTGAAAAAAAATGTTGTATTGTTTTGTATGTTAAATGCTCTTGAAAAAATCGTATAATTTTATATGATATGAATTTCGGAAAAGTTGTTGTATTTTATTATATAGTGCATATAATCTATGTTTTATAACATTTTATGCTAATCTAGACACTAGAGAATGTACTGATTGTTATTTTGTGAAGGGAAGAGAAAACGAATGGGGGAGGATTTTTGTAATGGGGGATGTAATATAAAAATAAAAATAGATATATTCGTAAGTCATAACTGAGAACTTGCATGATGCAAAATCAATGCATAATTTCGTCAGCTTTTCCCTTCCAGACACTCATCCTTCCATATAAACTTGGTACCAACTCTGTGCAGGGGGACAGAACCAGTAGAATCCTAGAAAGTCCCATAAATCACGGCTTTTAGGGAATTTCACTGTTTGCTATCTTTTGTCCGGTTTTCCCCATATAAATATCGTCGTTCCCCTAATTCGGGGTTCTTTTGTCACTTTAAAAGTATTGTAAGACGTTGTACCCCTTGTGTTCTACCTGTGTGGTACCCCGTACAATCAATAAGGATTTTAAATCCCATACTTGTCATTACTGGGTCGATGATACAAAACGCATTTCAAGACTTTCGCTTGGTACTGTGTTTCTTGGAAAGAAAATTTACGATACAGGCTTTTTCGCATTAAAAGTTATCACTCTTATATAACCTTTCAGATTCCGATTTATTGAAGGGGATAAAAACTTTCTGTGAGAGGTGACAACTCCTACACTGGTGTGTAAAACTTAAGCAACAATGTAAAAATTTAGCAGATAGCCATGAAATTGCAGAAAAGGAGGTCTGAGATCAGTATAGTGAACAAGTAAATCAGTAGAAACGTCATGCGCATGCAAATATCAGCAACAAAACGTCAGAAGTGATGTGAGCGTACGCAAAACGCGTGATGTCGGCGCGCTGCTCAACAGTATAATAAAATGAAAGACGGAGACGCAATTAAACATATTCGCTGCAAATGCCAGTGAGTAAGTTCATGAAATATGGCTAGAAGAAATCACCTGGAAGACTTCACACAAAGTTGGCCACCGAAACCACCGTTTGCAGTGGGCTAGAGAGCACAAAAACTGGACAACTGATCAATGGAATCGTTTCCTCTTTACGGATGAGAGTCGGTTCAGTACCAAAAGCGATTCTCAACACGTTTTGATTTGGAAAGAGATCGGGACCCGGTTTTATCCCAGTAACATCAAGGAGAGACACCGTTACGGTGGTCCTGGAGTTCTTGTCTGGGGAGGCATTATGCTGAACGGGCGAACTGAGCTTCATATTTTCGGACAGAGGTCTATAACCGGGGATCGCTATTGTGAGGAGGTACTTCTTCCCCATGTGCGTCTTTTCCGAGGTGCCTTTGACCCAGACTTCATTTTTATGGATGACAATGCATGGCCACATCGCACTCTTGCTGTTGAGGAGCTGCTGGAAAGTGAAGATATAATTCGAATGGACTGGCCAGCGTGCTCTCCAGATTTAAATCCCATCGAACATGTGTGGGTTGCTTTTGGGAGACGTATTGCCACACGCTTACATCATCCGGAGAACAACCAACAACTCAAACAGATGTTGATATAGGAAAGGGCACTCATACCTCAAGAAATGTTGCACCAGCTGGTTCTGAGTATGCAGAGACGGTGCGAAGCAACTATTGTAGTAAGGGGAGAGCATATACCATATTAAGGAACATCTGCTTGTTGTTCTTCCTGTTGGATAGACAAAAATGAATCACGATACTATGCATTCAATAAAGCTTGTTTTTGTTTGATTCCATACCGTATGCGTTGTATTCGTTTTTCAGCGCCGATGCTTTCGTCATCCTTTACGTACATAATACTCTCCCTCATTTCAGAATTTCATGTCTCTCAGATGATTTATCAGGACGTTATGACAATAAAACCACCTGTTGCTTAAGTTTTGCACACCACTGAATATTATTGTCATATGTAAAAGCAATAAAGGTTCCATCGAGATTTTAACTCGGATCGCTGGATTCAAAGTCCAGAGTGCTAACCATTACGCCATGGAACCCAAACTTCCCATGCCGGCAACTGAACTCTGGCTGCCTGAGTGAGATCCAGGAATCCTAACCACTAGATCACATGGGACTCCTTTGAAAAACATCCTGCTTTTCCTAAAAGTACAACGCGTCTGTATTCCTCTTTATGTAAGTTTTGATTCAACATTTGAAGTATTTTTAGTCAGTTTTCTAGTTCTGAATCCATGTTTACCAAAACACACACACACAAATATATTTTACACCATCTTTCTCGAAATGTAAACAACTTTGAATTTCAAAGAGTAAAAGCAATCCATTGCATCAAATCAAAAGTGAAATGAAAATTTCGAGATCATAAGCATTTACGTTCGAGACAGTAGCTTTCAATCTATGACGGCTCCAAAAATCAAAACCAAATGCCCCGGGTGAGGATCGAACTCACGACCTTCAGATTTCTCCAAGTTGAGGATTATGAGACTGACGCGCTGCCTACTGCGATACCGAGGCTCGGAGGACATATGGAATTTTATACATGGGTACGTCATTGTTTGTGTAAGAATTCTTAAGTAGTTTTCCAACAAATCCGGTTTTTGAACCCATAACGGGATATTAGCCGCTAAAGGCGTTATCATCCTTCGTGACTATTGAAACACTTTGTGCGCATATTGATAGAGCGTAATGTAAATTGGTATTTAATTTTTATAATAACTTTTTGAAATATGCCTGAAAAGAACATTAATTTTAAACAATGAAAACAAACTATTCAACAGAAATTTTAAAATTTATTAGCATCATTTAAAAAATTTCGTTTGCCTCAAAAGGCCCTTGTTACTTTTATATACATAGAATTAATGTTTTTATCATCAAAATTTTTATTTTCTTTTAAATTCCGTCTTTTCCAACTCTTACCAGGTCTGAATTCGAGATGTATACTGTGATAGGTTTCAATACCATCTGTTGCAAAACGTAAGGTTCCACCGAGATTTGAACTCGGATCGCTGGATTCAGAGTCCAGAGTGCTAACCATTACACCATGGAACCCAAGTTTCCCACGCCGGGAATCGAACCCGGGCCGCCTGGGTGAAAGCCAGGAATCCTAACCACTAGACCACATGGGAGTCATTCGGGACGAACAATTGTACGTCTTAATTCCAATTTCTCTCACATTTGCACATCATTAGTTCTATTGCTTTATACAACTGTGATTTTAATTTTTGTCGAAAGAAACATTTTTTACGTCGAATTTGAGGACACGCAGACTCGATAGAGAAACAATTATTCCTTTCCACAATATCATTTCTTGTGAAAGCACATGAACTTCTCCCAAACTTTAAATTTATGATACAAAACGCATTTCAAGACTTTCGCTTGGTACTGTGTTTCTTGAAAAGGAAATTTACGCGATACAGGCTTTTTCGCATTAAAAGTTATCACTCTTATATAACCTTTCAGATTCCGATTTATTGAAGGGGATAAAAACTTTCTGAGAGGTGACAACTACTATATTATTTTGTCATATGTAAAAGCAATAAAGGTTCCACCGAGATTTGAACTCGGATCGCTGGATTCAAAGTCCAGAGTGCTAACCATTACACCATGGAACCCAAACTTCCCATGCCGGCAATTGAACTCGGGCCGCCTGAGTGAGAGCCAGGAATCCTAACCACTACATCACATGGGGGCTCCCTTTTAAACAAAATTCTTTTCCTAAATATACAACGCGCGTCTGTATTCCTTATGTAAGTTTTGATTCAACATTTGAAGTATTTTTTATCAGTTTTCTAGTTCTGAATCCATGTTTACCGAAACACACACACACAAATATATTTTACACCATCTTTCTCGAAATGTAAACAACTTTGAATTTTTTTCAAAGAGTAAAAGCAATCCATTGCATCAAATCAAAAGTGAAATGAAAATTTCGAGATCATAAGCATTTACGTTCGAGACAGCCGCTTTCAATCTAAGACGGCTCCAAAAATCAAAACCAAATGCCCCGGGTGAGGATCGAACTCACGACCTTCAGATTTCTCCAAGTTGAGGATTATGAGACTGACGCGCTGCCTACTGCGCTACCGAGGCTCGGAGGACATAAGGAATTTTATACATGGTTACGTCATTGTTTGTGTAAGAATTCTTAAATAGTTTTCCTACAAAAATCCGGTTTTTCAACCCGTAACGGAATATTAGCCGATAAAGGCGTTATCATCCTTCGTGACTATTGAAACACTTTGTGCGCATATTGATAGAGCGTAATGTAAATTGGTATTTAATTTTTATAATAACTTTTTGAAATATGCCTGAAAAGAACATTAATTTTAAACAATGAAAACAAACTATTCAACAGAAATTTTAAAATTTATTAGCATCATTTAAAAAATTTCGTTTGCCTCAAAAGGCCCTTGTTACTTTTATATACATAGAATTAATGTTTTTATCATCAAAATTTTTATTTTCTTTTAAATTCCGTCTTTTCCAACTCTTACCAGGTCTGAATTCGAGATGTATACTGTGATAGATTTCAATACCATCTGTTGCAAAACGTACGGTTCCCCCGAGATTTGAACCGGATCGCTGAATTCAGAGTGCTAACCATTACACCATGGAACCGCCCCCACCCCGAATCGAAGGGCCGCCTGGGTGAAAGCCGGGAATCCCCCACTAGACCCATGGGAGTCATTGGGGACGAACAATTGTACGTTTAATTCCAATTTCTCCATTTGCACATCATTAGTTCTATTGCTTTTACAACTGTGATTTATTTTTGTCTAAAGAAACATTTTTACGTCGAATTTGAGAACACGCAGACTGATGAAAACAATTTTTCCCTTTCCACAATATCATTTCTGTGAAAGTACATGAACTTCTCCCAAACTTTAAATTTATGATACAAAACGAATTTCAAGATTTTCGCTTGGTACGTTTTTTTGAAGAAAAATTTACGATACGGGTTTTTTTCGCATTAACGAGTCTCGGGACCCCAAACTTAAAATTTTTTGATTTTTTGAAAAATATATGTTTACCCCTATCTTTTCAAAATTTTTGGAAACCAAAATTTTAATGAACGATCAAAACTTTTGAGTTATTAAAAAAAAAACTGAACATCCCAGGGTAAACAAAACTGACCCCCTTTTTAACGCTTTTTGAGGTACAAACTTAGTTTTTTAGAAGGCCACATTTAATTTTTTTATTTTTAAAATAGGTAATTTAATTCTTATTTTTGAAACAGGTAGCATAGCTGCAACTCAACTTTTATTTTGCGGTACTGTTTACTTCCAAATTGTTGGGTTTTTTTTGCCGATTTCAATTTTTTGTGTGATCTTTTAAAAGGGAAAAATTGTGAGAAAAATTGTCGGGCAGCCCCCAAAAAAAGGTTTAAAGGAATAATTTCCCTAAGAAAACAAATCTGGTAAAAGTAAGAAGAAAAAAAATTTTTTGTAAAAAGCCCAAACATAGTGCCCCCTAAGGAAGTTGCCGAGTGAAAATTTTTTTGAATTCGTGTCAACCTAATATTTAAAGCTTTTTAAAGGGTTATCGGCTGATGTATAAGTTTTTTCTCGGCCAATTAAAAAAAATATGTTTGTTTTTTGGGAATGCCGGCAAAAAAAAAATGGGAAAAAAACCCAATTTGGGGACTTTCATCATCTTTTTATTAAGGGCTCAAATTGCAAAATGAAAAAAAACTAAACATTGAGCTCATTGGAGAAAAAAGAACTTTCCCAGAAATAAAGAAGATCTGTCTTAGCCATGAGATGTATGGGCCGGTTTATCGGCGTTAAGTAATTTTGTATATTATGTCATTGCCAAAACCTGTACCCAAAAGGCATATGACAGTATCAATAAAAAAATTAAAATGTGGGGAGAATTTAAATGCGTCGGATGAGTGATGCGTTTTGAAAAAAAATTCCTCGATAATCAACGATTGCTGTTGTGGGGAACAAGGGAAAAACCCGGGATAACATCACTTGGGGTGTCCGTTAATTGGAGCGAGTGTAAAAAGGGCCGATATCGAGGTTATGTCATCCTTCTGAAAGGGGTTTTCATTTAAAGGTCCAAAGTTTGGACCCAAATCAGTTTTTTTCAAAACACCAGCCCTTCTGAAAAAAAATCATAATGGGTCTGCGGGACAAAGGGAAAGTGAGGGGGATAAAAATTTTTTTTTCCGTTCTGAAAGTAAGCATCTCATATATAAACAGTAAAAGAGATGGAGATACAAAGACATATAGTTCTTTGTGAGAAAAACCCTTTTTGGTGACAATATAAAAAATTAAAAAAATAGAGTGTGGCCCGTTAAAAAAGGGGGGTGTCGCTTAGAAATTTAAAAAATCATCTCTTGGCAAAAAAAAATTGCCCGAGGGAAAACAAGGGGGAAAGGCCGCCTCACAGATGTTGTCATTAATAGGTTAACAGCTTTTAGGGGAATGCAATTGTGGTAATCCCAAAAATTACACGAAATGAGGAGGCTATCTGGGCTGTATGGGCTCATACAGCTAGTACTGACGACCCCCAAAACACTGGTTTTGCCCTAAAGGCAGCAAATAGTTGGTGTATATAATGTTTGTTTTAAAACAATGTGCGGGTTTAAACACAAAAAAAATTTTCCTAAGATTTTTTTTAAAAGCAAAAAACCCCTTTTTAAAGATCTGTCGCATTTAAAACTGTTACGAAGGTGTCTTGGAGGTAAAACTCAAAACCCAAATGAATCTTTTAACTTTAAATTAAATACAGCCCCCAAAAATATTGGATCCCGCATTCCCTTACAAGAATAGCTGCGTTTTTAGCTGTATGTGACTACAATGATGGGATAAGAGCCCAAAATTGATATAATTAAGCAATGGGTTTGAAATAAACAAAAAAAACGTTATTACTGCTAAAAATTCTGATAAAAACCTTTTCGACAGCTTTTAAGCGCGTAAACCAGCCTCCTTGGAAATTTGGAAAAAAAAAAGGCTGAAACGGCCAAAAAAAAATATAAATTTTGTTGTCGGGGGTGCATATGATCCGGGTTTGTATAAATAAGGTAACCTATATTATTTTTGTCATGTTTTTAATTCACGACATTTTTCATAAAATTAACCCCCTTTAAAACCACCCGTTTTATTTATTTGA